GGGGCTGCTGCCTTGCAGGCTTATGTAAAAAATAAGGGGTGCAGGAATTTTAACACACATCTGACACCAGTGGTGTGTGTTGCTCTATATATAAATCATCATCATTTTGCGCCATTAGTTGTTGGCACTGACTTGTATAACTATAAATTACATTCAGTGAAAAGCGGCCTGCACCCTGTCAGAGCAGCAAAGAGGCTCCTCAGATGTTTAACTGTGGAAATGTTGAGGGGCGTTCAGGTACACTCATTCTACCTCAAGGCATAACAATATATATGGTCTCTTTCTAACCTTTCTTCCCCACTAACCATAAATATTTAAGCACTGACTAATTAAACTGTGACAGACAATTTTTCAGAAAAAAGCCAATATTAGTTCAATCTAACAGTCTAACTCTAACTGTGTTCCAAGCACGCTATGAATATCCTGCCAGTCAGCTAAGCAGGAAACAGGCAGCCAGTGGGGGTTCTGGCTGGCTCTACCAGACCTGCAGGGGTCAAGCCCGTCAGGTGGGGGTCAGGCAGGTGAGGCCGGTAGGGGAACAAAGAACCACCAACAACCCTGCACCCCCTCCTCCCTCCAGCTCTTTTCCTATCCCGTCTGCTTTCCCTTCCTCTCAGAACAATCACCACCAACAGGAACAGGAAGTGATGTCGAGAGGAGGTTGATCTAACCAGGGCAGTTCCTTTGGCCGAGTCCGACAAGGAAAAGAGAAGGTCGGAAAGACAGAGTAAGAAAATACTGAAAACACATATGGCTGGTGGTGGCAGGGTATCCAGTTTGGGCATGGATGGGTGTGTGTGTGTGTGTGTGTGTGTGTGTGAGACTGTCCTATTTATAGAATTCAGTGTTGTGTTCAGAAGTGACTTAGTGTCCCAGGAAATCTTTCATTTTAAATCATATTTATATTTAATCCATTTCAGTTTTATCATTTTGAGTATTATGAGCCCTTTCTGGACAGAAATCAGAAGACATCCATATGATCTTTACTGTGAATAAGACCATGACAGCAGTTTGTGGCACCACACTCTGTGTGCGTTAACCCCACCTTCCTTGCTGTTACTGTGACTCCGGGGCTTCTACAGTGTGGAGTGCCAGGGTCTCCCTTCTCTCAGGCTTCCTTAAGAATATGAGCAGGCATTTGGCATTGAAAGTCAGAAGCCAATTTCAGCTCCCATAGAACAATAACAAGCATGTGGCTCTTGACAGAGATCCCCGATGAGCGATGTATGCTACCACACGCTGTAGCAGCCCTGCCTTTTAAGATGTATCCGAGGGCTCCATGCCTGAAAGACGACACCAAGGCCTGTGCCACCAAGGCTCCTTGGATCTTGTCTTTCCCCCACTTGTGGACTCTTGTCTGTCCTCGGCTGCTAATTTTTGTCACACTTTCTCTTCTGAGCAGGGAAACAACCCTGTGTTGTATGTTATTAATACTATTGTTAACTACACACTCAAGGCTGGCTTCCCAGACACACCTCATCATGTTACAGGTATAATGTGTATAAATTGCCAATCATGCTTTATATAATACTGTCTATAAATATCAGAGGGAATACCTTGGCCAATTATGGTTAGATGCTGATAGTCACAGTATATCTAGCAGTAAAAGCTGCTTCTTGGCCTAAAACCTGAAGGTGTGTTTTCAGAAGACACTGAAGTTCAAGGAATAGTTTTTTCCCTAGAAGCTTAATCTACTAATGAGTATCAAGAATCTAAATACCAAATAGATAATATATGTTGATTTTATTTATATTGTCATGGTCTGGACAAGCTGCTGCTAACTTCATCAAACAGGTCAACAATCTGTCAAAATGCCACGCTATGACAACAGCACCCCCTAGAGGCTCACATCTGGGAAGTATGTTGAACCTGCAAATTTACTAATTTGTACACTGGAGAGGCTTTAACACCACTTTTTTCCTTTTCAGGGCTAAAAATATCAAGTATGAAGCTGCACTGATTTGGTTTGTAATCATGTTGCAGTGTTGTCACTGGTTGCACTTGTCTAGTGGTGGAAGAAGTAATCGGATCATTTACTTTAAAAAAGTAGCACTGTAAAAATATTCTATGACACATAAAATTCTAAATTGCCCAAATAAAAGTACAGAATTATCATTGATAAAAAGTACTTGAAGTACCAAAGTAACAGTACTAATTCTTCATTAAAAAAATTATGGATATTAGATTAATAATAGGCCCTGCGATGGTCCGGCGACCTGTCCATGGTGTACCAAACCTTTCGCCCAATGCCGGCTGGGATTGGCTCCAGCCCCCCCGTGATCCCATTCAGGACTAAGCAGTATAAACAATGTGAGAGAGAGAGAGATTAATAATACTCATGTGAAAGCATGTCACTGCTGTAGCTAAGTAAAGTTAATTTTGGCTACAGTTAAGCAGTTTAGTCCAGGGTTTCCCAACCTGGGCATCAAGCTGCAACAAAAGTCACGGGATAAATCTGAGGGGTTGTGAGATGATTAAAGGGATAGGAAAGAACAAATAAAGTTTTGCTACACAAATATTTATTGTTTTAATCACAGACCAAAAAGTTGCACCACTGGTTTAATCTTATAAACTTCATTAATTTTTAATGCATTAGCAAAAACTTTCAAATAAATGTAGTGAACATATCTCAGATGTAGATGAGTAGAAATATAGTGCTAGAAAATTTAAATACTCAAGTAAAGTACAAGTAGGCTACTATATTTGTGTAAATGTACTTATAGTAGTTCCTTTTCTCCAGTAGCACACTGTCACTGTGGTGCTAAATTCTCCCTTTTGATGTTGAGAAGACTTATGATATGATGTGGAAAGGATTATCATCATCAAGAAGGCACAGCACAGGATGTACTTCCTGTGCCAGCTCAGGAAGTTCAACCTGCCCCAGGAGCTTCTGATACAGTTCTACAGAGGAATCACTGAGTCTGTTCTCTGCACCTCCATCACTGTCTGGTGTGGCTCAGCAACCAAACAGGACAAGAACAGACTCCAGTGGACAGTGAGGACTGCAGAAAAGATCATTGGTGTGAGCCTGCCCTCCATGGAGGACCTGTACACCTCACGGGTCAAAAGGAGGGCGGAGAAGATCACAACAGACCCCTCACACCCTGGACACAAACTGTTTGAACTCCTCCCCTCTGGGCGGTGTTAGAGGACACATGCAGCCAGACACAGTTTCCTCCTCCTTGCCATCACTCTCATAAACAGTTAATCCACACTTGTATGACAGTATGCAGCAGTCATGCCAGTGCAATAGACTGTAAATATAACCACTGTATATATCAGTCTGAAAGCTCTTCTACCACAATATAAGTTATATATGCATAAATTGCACTTATTGCATTTTCTCACACACACAGACACTTCTTATGCCTTATTAAGAGCACATTGGGCCTCTGTACCAGAGTCAAATTTCTTGTGGTCATGAAACTAATTCTGATTCTGATTCTGATTCTGATTCTGATTCTGATTCTAATAAAGGTAAACTAGATGGGAGTTGGTGGAAGGGTACTTAATTGGATAAAAGACTATCATTGGTAACGAGATACAAGTCAGGATAGAAAGACAAACTTTTAGGTAAGCTGTGGTTGAAAATGGGACCCCACAAGGATTGTAATAAGTCTATTATTATTGTCAGTAATAATCAATGATGGTTGTATTTTTTTTTTTTTTTTTGCAAATACAACCAGATGTTTTTGTGCAGATGACAGGGCTTTATAGAAAAGGAGAAAGAACATATTACATATGAATGAAAAGATTCAGAAAGCACCTGACAAGGTTGGGCAAAGTGCATATAAGTGGGAATTTAAATTTTCAGTTAGAAAACTGTCTTTGTAAGAAGAAGAGTCCTACCTGATGTGGGTGTCAGAATTATAAAAGAGTGTGTGAGAAAGTAAATGTTTTAGATTAGGAGTGCTGTTTCAAAGTTAATATGGGTGGAACATATCAGTAAAACTGTGGGAAAGTATCATGGAGTAATTATCATTATGAGGTTCCTAAGTGAGGTAGAATGGGGAGCCAGCTTCTCTATTTCAGACTATTAATGTATGTAGCCTTAATCAGTGTATTCTTGATTATTAATAAGTGTGGTTTATGGTTCAGCCTCAAATACTCAGTTGGAGAAGTTAAATAGCATCTAAGCACACAATCACAGTTCTTGCTGAAATTTAAAAAGGGAGGGAAATGGGAAAATAGACTTATTAACAGGTTTTTAGATTCATATGAGGGAGCTTTACCTTAACTACATACGAATATATACAGTAGATTGTTGAAAGTATCCATAGCATCACACCACTGGGGCTACACATTTAATACCAGACAGGAAGGTAGTTGTACATCAGATCATCTGGGGGTTTACACAGTGGAAACGATTGCAGTGCTTTTAGTGCTATGCTGATTCTGTGGCTGCAGCCGTGAAGATATTTTCTTCAATAAATTACAGGTATACTCAAGACTTATTCATCAGGGGAAGTTGGTTCAGTTCAGCAAGTACATGTAGGTTTGAAGGTGAATGAGGAAGTGTATAGGCTTGAAAAACAAACACTATTATAGACACAGAAACAGAAGATCTAGTCCTATCCGGTAAAGCAGAAATTAAAAGAATTGTTTGGATCAAAGCAGTGAAAACATGGCAAGAGTGGAGCATGGATCAAAGGGGGATTCTTTTATAGTCTCAGTAATAAAATTAATTCACTGTAGGCTACAGGAATATAGGTTGGTCAAGGAGAAAGGAGGTCATTTTCAACAGGATAAGACTTGGACATTCTAACTTAACACCTAAATCAACAGGCAAATACTCAACTGGATTATGTGAGCACTTTCAGGTTGAGCCAGTAACACATGGACTGTCAGAGATAGAAACAGGAAAGGCAGCAAATGAAATGCTAGGATTCAGAAGTTTAATTTGAAGACATAATTTTATTTCTGTATTTAGGACAGATGGATCTTATGGGTAGAATGTGAGCACTGATCCACACTCCGAAACAGAAGGAGGCCGCAACGCTCCTAGTTTACTGGTTGCCGACTGCCATTAAAACTCGGGAAGAAGAAGAACAGGAAGCGGAAGCAGAAAGCAACCCGCCATTGACGCGAACTTGCAACGTGAGCGTATCGTTTAAGTGCACTCTATTAAACAGGTGCAGTTTTTTTATATATATATACCTACTCCTGGTATTTTGCTGGAGCGATGGCATATAGAGGACAAGGACAGAAGGTCCAGAAGGTTATGGTGCAGCCCATTGTATCCTTTTCATTGCGGTGAACGACAGACGTGGTTGAGTGGGATGCTACAATAACTTAGCAGCTAGGCTAACTTTTCACGGTAGCTAGCCACTCATTTTCCATAGAATCAATAAGGAGCTATTAACGGAGCTATAGTGTATGACAAAGACTTATTACATGCACGAGATCATACGGTGATTTAAATGTATTATGGCTGGTGTAGTTCATTGTAACTTGTAAGACCTAGCCGCGGTAAATCCAGCGTCATTAGCACGCCTCACAACAATGTGACATCCCTTTCAAGCTAAGGATTCTCATCTGTGCTATACACTATGAGTCCAGACAATAACAATGAGTTACTTTTCCTTCCAGTTAAAGGTAACCAAAGTAACCGATAATGATTTTTTTAGGTGAAACTATGCAAGTTTGTGCACTTCATTTGGCTCTCACCATAAGTGTTTGCTCAGAAGAATAAGACTCGGATCTAGGTGAGCCACTTCAATTCCTGCTTGAATTACCAGTAATAAAAATGAGCAAGTTAAGTGGAGACTACTTGTTTGATTAGATCTTTACATTGACTTGCCGATCACAGTATTGTTTGCGGTGCACTTGCACCGTTTTGTTTATTGCTCAGGTTCAGTTTGGGGAAAAAAACCTCTGAAATGTCACCAACAACGATATCGGTAGCCATTTATGTTCAATAACGTCTTGTGAACGTATTGGACTTGTATTGTTATGTGTGTTTGTGTTATCTTGAGCATTGACTTTCTTTAACTCCAGTTATCAGAACCTTATTTTCAGGTACCTACAAAACGTAAGTATTTAGTTCAACCTTATGTTATAGTTTGTTCTGATATGTTTTGTGTTGTGTCTGAATGAAATGGAATTCTTGATGTTCCCTTTCCCAGCGCTCCCGGATCCAGGTCTGGCTGTATGAACAGGTGAACATGCGGATAGAGGGCTGCATTATTGTAAGTTGTTAAACTTATCTTGTTTTTAAATATGGAGCTGGAGTCAAGAATGAGTCATTTCATTAATATATAGACAATGTGGGATACTTGATTAATATATACAGTATGTAGAGCAGGTTGATATTGGTTCTGAGGAGATTCAGAGACCATGATTACACTCAGTAGGATAAATCAGAGAACAAGTGCCTTGTTTGTCATTGATCACAGATTTTCTAGGGGGGAAAAAACCAAAACAAATCTCAATACTGAGCTTCAGCAGAAACTGTGATTTGATAGTTCCTTGATCCTTGCTCAACCCAGAAGTCGTTCAGGTTCACTGTCTTGAGGGGTGTTCCAAAGCTCTTATTCCTGCTCTGAGGAGCGAGGAGGCTGCCTGTAAGAGCCATGAGTTAGGATACACAAGAGCATCCTTCGCTGAAATTATATTGCTCTTTATATGCCTCTTTATCAGAAATCAGTTGGCCATTGGATGCTTTACATGAAGGACTGGAGGAAAGGACCTTTCATGACTATATAAATGTTTCCCCTGTTCCCCTCTCCTCGCATCTTGCATGTCAGGACTAAGACAAAGAAAAGATGCAAGTGAGGGAAACATGGATGCCGTTAAAGGAATTGGTATTTACCCACTGTGTAATATGTAAAACCACTGCTGAAAAGCCACCTTTTGGAACCTTAATGTGAATGGAAACAAAGTGCATGAATCGATGATTATTCGTTGGGCTTCATACAAGAGCCACACATGTGAACAGTTATATTCCTAAGGTGCATCAACAAGTGGTTTAAGAGAACTTGTCACATAGATCAATTTCAGTTTAAAATTCCAGAGTGGTCCAGACCTGTTTTATGAGTACAGATGTTCTGCCTGTCACCATTGGGGAAAGAAACTTGTTTTCAGATAGCTTCATGGCTTGCTAATTAAAGCCCCTTTTCCACCGCCTGATACCGGCTCAACTCATCTTGACTTGCCATATTTGTGTTTCCATCAGCCAAATGTTGGGGATAGTGCCTGGTACTATTTTTGGTATCGCCACTGTCGAGGTTCCAAGCGAGCAGAGGCAATACCAAATGGTGACATGTAAACACTGCAGGCTAGTGATTGGTCAGAGAAATTGCATAACTCACCCTCTTGCATCGCCTTTGAGCAACCAGTCATCTTGTCATCTAGACTCAAAAGTGCTATTTGCCAAACCTTCCTTTTTGTTTCAGCAGTCTTTTCTCTTGCTTCCTTCAGACACTTCTGAAACACAAAATTTCTCTTTGCTGTGACAAACAGCTACATACCGAGAATCAAGAACAGCTTACCTTTGATGTCCTCCATTGTTACTGTGTCGGTTGCTGATGATGTCACAGCAGTGTAATGGGGTGTTTCTGTGAAAACCAGCTAGGCTGAGGAGGGGGGCTATCTGCAGTGGAAAATGAATCAGCTGGTACCAAAAGCGAGTAAAGTTGAGTTAAGCCAGTACCAGTGATTGAAAAGGGGCTTATCTGAGGTATAACGGTGTTTTATGATAGTTAGTTTAATTGGCATATTGTGGCCAATTTGTCCAGTTGGCGAAATCAGTACAAGCAAGTCTCAGAGAAAACCATGAGGCATGTAGGGAAGAAATATGAAAGTCTTCCTGCATGAGGCCTGTTGAAATCAGTTTTTGGCTGACTGTTCCCTTTCTGTCTTAGGGTTTTGATGAGTACATGAACCTGGTTCTAGATGATTCAGAGGAAGTCCACATGAAGACGAAGAACAGAAAGCCACTAGGTAAGGGCACATCTTACAGTTTGACACCAGCTTTTGCAGCATTGTCTATGTTTAGCTCTCCTTATAATTGATTTGTACAAGTGTATTTCAGCAAACCTGACAGTTTCACAGACTGTTATTGACCTTGAATAACATGGTGTTAGACCCTTTTTCGCTGACATCTTGTCATAGCAAGAAAAGCAGGTGTCATTTATAACAGTAAAAACTAAAACATTAGCCTGGGTTCAGATTGAGTTTCAAATGTGAAAAAATGCAGCCCTCTGCATTAATTTATGTGGGGATTGCGTACCGCAGGGGGCTCCAGCAAAACGCTGCAGCCCTGATCGGTGAAAAAGATGGATTTGTTTCAACTCTTAATATAACTACACTGGTGGTAGAAATTGGTACTCGCACAGAATAGGCTACATTAGCAGCATGGCTAACCAAAATGCTACAGAAACTGGCAGGCAATGTTACATATGTCATATCTGAAAGGGGCTTTACTGTATAAACACTTTGTAGCACAATCTGTCAGGAACAGAGATATAAGCTTTGAATTGTTCAACTTCTGAAGTTCCAAAGTGGAAAAAAAATTCAGTTTTGGACAGCCCTAGAACTTTCACATCATCAAAATTCAGCTTAGCTTCACTAACTGAACTACCAGAGGGAAAATATCCTGAAATGTTTTGAATTGTAAAAAACAGTTTGAATGCATATAGCTGTGTTTTGAATTGTAAAAAACAGTTTGAATGTGCATATAGCTGAAGTATGTGTAAACTTCTGACCTCAACTATATGTATGTCTTGCAAAATAAACTCTATTTGCACTAATGTCTGTCATTCACAAATAATAGACATGGTTATTTTGTTCATCACAATATATTGCATATTTTTAATCACAAATGACATATATGGAGTACTTCACAGGTTTTTCTCCTGCAGTTATTTGTGGAAAATGAAGCAGATGAATGCCTTATAATGTCCTTTGCTAGCTACTATGTTAGCTAATGAACATGTGAAAGTAAACATGATACTGATCTTACATGTACTGTGACACTAGATTCCCTGTTATCTTTAGCCAACTTGGTGGGCACTGACTGCTTTGTCCAGAATTGAACTGACACTCTATCTCTTTTCCCTCCATCACCTTGCTCTTCGGATCCTCCTCCACTTTTGTTTCACCTGCTTTCATCTTCTAGGGAGGATCATGTTGAAAGGAGACAACATCACCTTGCTGCAGAGTGTGTCCAACTAGAGCAATGGAGATGCCTGCAAATCTGACCTTTACCTAGAAAGAGTATGTTTGTGTTTATATAACATGGATATTCTAATTGTTTCTTTCTACTGCATGGATCCTTTCTGGAATAAAGTGTTTTCCCTTTTTTAAACTACTTTTTTTTATTTATAAAACAAACAAACAAAAAAAAACAAATTCCATTGTAGATGTAACGTCAGTTATTTCCATGAGTATTTAGGTCATTGTCCTGGACTGACATCTAGTGGCAGAAGTCATTATTGCTATGCACTTATGTAGGTCAAACTTCCATCATCTGATACAGTGTAATCGGACAATGTACATTTACTTGACAGAGGAGATTAACTTAACGCATTTATGTTTCGTTGTACGGCCTTAAGTAAGCGTGTTACATTTACTGATGTGAAACAGGGGAAGGTGATAGTTTAGTTTTGGTACGGTGTAATACAAGTAAATAGAATCACTGCGTGGAAGCAGGTTCAGTCGGATGTAACAGAAGGTCTGAAGAAACATTCAAGCACATGTCCAGATAGTGCATTTTCTGTACAGGCTTCATACAGTCTCTTACAAAGTGACTAGAGCCTGTACGAAGCCTGTATTATCAATACCAAAAATCTATTTACAAACAACACTATAGCTTGAGCTGACTCCAGCCCAGCCCCAACCCTCTTCAGGATAAGCGGTATAGGTAAGGGATGGATGGATGGACCTATAGGTTGGGCTTCGGTTCATTTTCAGATTCTGAAATACAGGTTTCATATTTAGACTACAAATATCATCCGTATTCTTCATTGTTGAAACCATACACTACCTAAACTGCGGAACCATTTATGCTGTTTAAGTTTTTGGTTTTAGTTTGGGTAAAGTACCCTGGTTGTAGACAAATTGATTAACGTAATTACGTGGTATTTCACAACGCAACGTGTCCCTGTTCTGCTGACTGGGAAGCCCCTAGCACAGAGCTGCCAACGCCCGGCGTAAAGACAGAGGATACGGTACGGGAAAAATGTATTTATTATTATTTTTTTAATCTGTTACCGGAATGTCGTTTTGCTTGGTTCTTTGTATGAGTGTTGTCATTAACATGCATATTAATCGTCTGTTGTACATTGGTTTTAAGTTGTCAATGTAGGTCATTTAGCTAAAGCATCCGCTAAGGTTAGTTCAGCCAGTTAGCTAGAAGGCTAATTGTGGAGTAACGTACAGTTGTTAGCAAAGCAAGCAGACAAGCTGTCAGAAACATTGGACCGGCTTGTAAATAAATCTTCTGAGGCTGTGTAGCAGCCACAGTTCGCATCGAAATTTTTGGCGATTTTTGTATAAACAGTCTTCTAATTTTTGCACCTTAAGCAAAGTCAGTAGTTTAAATATCAAAAGATGCACCTAGTTACTAGCTAGCGATTAGCTACTGAATAAAACAAGCTGAATAAAAGGCGTAACAAATGTTAGTTGTTTTAAATTATAATCTAAGCGTGGCCTTTGAGTGTAGTGGTTGAACGATGCTAAGGTACATGTTTAGAATACTAACTGGGTAAAGATAAAAAGAGACGAAATTAGGCCAGATTGAGGCCGAGGATGTTGCAGCAGCTAAGGCTAGTGTATCCAAGCTAACGTGGTAGTCATCTCTTCGGTGATCTTGAAATGTTTTTGTTATGTAGCTAACTGTTGAATAGTGATTATACAGGCTAACGGTAATAATAATGGCACGTATTTATACACCACAGTGACAGTGTGCTGACATAAATACTGAGCATGTTGTCAATTTCTGGACAACTCATTGTAGATTTTGAATGAATGTCCCAAAGAAAGGCTTGAGTTATCTTTTCGATATGAGGTCTGACTGTGCAACGTTTTAAAAGAACTTGTGTCCAAGAGATTTAAAGCCTTTGCTCATATGAACGTGGAAGGAAGCTGTGACCGATCATTGAGTAAATGAGAAATGCGATGTTATTCCAGTCGCAAGATCGTAAAGCGTAAAACTGGATGCACTGATGTTTGATGTTGTAGTGCAGTTTTCAGTATAAATGTATATTGCTTACATCTTAAGAGATTATCAGTCTTGCAAACTATCTTGCTAGATGTTGAGTCTAAGAGTGTTAATTTTAAATAGAGTTCTTTATATTGTGAGGAAACCGCTGCATCAAACTGAATCTCAGCTACTAGTCTTTTAGCTGGCCTACGAACACACATGCGTAGATTAAGTCTGGCATCATTATCACAGCTACAGATATCCTTTGTTGTCAATGACCACCAGCTTAGTGAAGTATTTATCTTAGACTTTGTCTAATATTTACTCCCGTTATAAGACGTTCCTCGATTTTCTTTTGTGAACTATAGTTTCATGAAAAGCACACACTTGTTCTCACATTGCTGATGTAAACAGCAATCACCATTAGATAACGAGGTCAGTATGTCATTTTACTACAGCGCCAAATACAAACACAATCATGCAGAGACTACAGCCATCAAGAAAAACGGTCATGGCAAGACTGGATAAACTGTATGATGATAATACATGTGAGCTGCGTAGTTGTTTCACAAGGTGTCTCTGACCACGGATGCATGGAAAGCGCTTACAACTGAGCAGAGTGGCATATTGCTGAAAACCTGGCAAATCTGCTTTCCACTTCAGTGGAACCATGTGGTCTTACTGGTAAAGTCACAGCATGTGTACATGACAACGTTAGCAATATGGAGCTAGCCAACATGGAGTGGGAGTCTCAAGAATGTGAGGTGGTCCGTCATCTTCAAATAGTTGGTGAATAGTTGTGAATATCAAATAACATTTTAGCTTGAAGTACCCATTCCTAATATGTAGATTCAAATGTATGACTTGAGGAGCTGTCTAATATGATATCACACAACCTCAAAGTGGATCAAATTATTTCTACTCCATAACATGAGCCCTGCACAGCTTGGTGTGAGTAACAGCAGCCACTGATTTCACCTGTTGCCAGTAATGCCTGAAACATCAGGGCATGCAAGCTATTTGAGCTGCATGCACGTGTTATTTTGTGGGCTAATTATTGGGTGTAGATGTCAGTGTCTGATCGGTGATTCTCAAGGACCATCTGGAGCGCACCTCTTGGGTGCAACGCTGGTCATTGTGTGGAAAGTTGAAATGGGAGGTGTTGATGAGAGAGGCTGCTGAACTGAATGTGCATACTGCTCAAAGTGAGTTTGTGTGCTGCACTCAGTCCATGCTGTACAGAGCTCACCTTATTATGAGAAAATATGGTAGCCCATGTAGTTATAAGGACAGTATGTTGTAATAATGAGAAAAATCACATTATAATGTAAATGTATTTCATAAGAATGAGACAAGTATCTTCTTATAAAGAGAAAGGCTTCTCTTAATACAAGATACTTAGAAAGCATTTAGGCCAAGTTGAATGCTGCTTAAACGATTATGGTATGGTCAGTATGTACAGGTGTACTCATGTACCATCCCACTGCTAATCACCATGCACTGAACCTAACTGTTCTTTCACTAACCAGTTGTAAAAACAGTCCTCCATACAATGGCAGGGTTGTTTCTTGCTCAACAACTGGTTTAGTCCCACTTAAGTTGGTGCTTTGTGTTGTATGCTGAATGTTGTAGATCACACAAAGCCCCAAACCAGTGTGGGTTCATCTAAACCTTTAATGAAATGTTACGTGGTTGTTGCCAGTTGGTTAAGCTTTAGTCACTTCAGATTATCAAATTGCACAAAACACAGGTCACCAGGGCACATAACTGTGTAGGAAGTTGATTTCAGAATGATAGTCACATAAAGTATCTTAGCACCTAAAGTTAAGTAACAGAGTTTGTCGGATCAGTGTTATTGTTGGTTAAAGATGTCTTTATGTTTAAACTGCTTTTTGGATAGTAAGATAACTCACCATCCCCACAAGTGTCAGATGAGAGGGGTCTGTGTCCAATCATCTCTGTAACCTTCTGAAAGTGACAGTGCAACAGTTACAACCCACTTCAAACAGTGATTGGCCAGCCATGGAAGGAGAAAAGAATTGAACTTTTCTGTCATTGTTGTCCCAACTATCCCTTTTCATGAGTACAACTGAGGTCAGCAATATGAATGTCTTGGCAGAAGAGGTTGACTTAAAATATAGACCAGTATTGCCCTATTTAAATAAGATCACATCTGCCCCTCTCTGTGATGGCAGGTTTTCCACTCTATCTTCCAATATGGCCATTTGAAACAACTACAAACACTTTCCAGCATGGTCAGATATGTTTTAACAGTTAATATGGCATTTAGCCATAACAGGGTCAAAGCCTTGACTAACAATGACAGCCCCACCCCCACACAGTGGTGCAGAGCTCTGCAGTGGCTTAGTGCTGATATACTGTAATTGTTGAAGAGAAACAGGGATAGAGCAGTCCATGTATGACATGCAGTGTGCTGTCTCAAAATGCAGATAGTATCAAGATGTGCTTCAGTGGTACCGATAGGGCTAAGCAATTAAACTTTATTTTCTGTCACAATTTTGGCTTCCAGTCATTATGAAAATAAAATAATCAAGATGAAACAATTGTGCCACACTTCGATTCGCAATAATGGTGGTGTTTTTATTTTTATAAATCCAGCACACCCCTTCAGCACTATACAGCATGAGCATTTTTTTGCTTGCATTGGGTGAAGTGAAATATTACACCTAACACCTAAACTTGTTACTGGGCATGCAGTTAAACATCCGTGAGTAAAAAGTCAAAAAGAGTAATCTATCAAAACATCCACTAAACATAAACTTGCAGTAAAGTGATCATTTCAGCTTTGCCTGCTGTTTGTCATCCACCACCAGTTTGTTGACCATAGCAAGCTTGTTAAGCTAATAGCTAATTGTTATGAATAAGCTAAAACAAAAGATGACTGTATGAAGTCTTACTGTTATGCAAGAGAGAGAGAGAGAGAGACCACGCTGCACTGGACAGGGTGACCTCCACTTAAACCATCCCAGCGTCAAGTAATTGATGAGATTTTTGCACAGGACTTGGGTCCCATCAATTTTCAGATTAAGAGCAGGCTTCATTTTTACAGTTACATCAAAGTGCTTCTTATCAACAGTAGGTCATTAACAATTAATGAACATCTGGTACTGAGCTTTTCAAGGGCTACTCCAGGAGTTCTCTCAACATCAGGACTGTAATTGATGCCGATAGTGCTTTAGCTAAACATTGACCAGAGGGAGAGGTAAATAGTAAACATAAATTTTTTCTTTATTTGGATTAAGAAAAAGAGCCTTATGTAAATGTTAAATAAAAAAAAGCTGAATTATATCCACTGCGACTCAAAGGAGGGGGTGAACTCTATAGTAAGTAGTTTTTACCTTTGCTTATAATGTGTGTCTGTGTGATATTTTTTTTTTTTTTTTTTTTTACAGTGCCATTAAAAAATAAATTTTTCTTTCTATTTGTTTTCTGTTCCAGATCTTGAATGAGGAGTGAAGACTGTAAAATACAGCTATGCAGACCATCAAGTGTGTTGTAGTTGGTGACGGTGCTGTGGGTAAAACATGCCTGCTCATTTCTTACACCACAAACAAGTTTCCCTCTGAATACGTACCTACGGTAAGTCCATGAACATCTATTACATTGATAGACAGGACTTATGAATATGATCCCTATTTTAACCACCACATAGTTGCAGTTAATGGATGATGTCCCACCATTGTAGCTGCATTTGTAGTTGTGACAAATTTACCTTAGAGTCAGTAATTTTCATGGTGTTTATATGATTCTGGCTAACTCCTCTGTGTTAGCTTGTTGCAGAATTCATTAAAATGTAAGACTGATACAGGACTTGGTATAAATACACCGTAAAAACATGCTGTGAAATGTACAGTAACTTGCTGGCATCAATTAGCTGCTGAGTTTCTGTAGTACATTCCGCAGAGTGTTTACTGTAACATTTACAGTAAACACTTTCACTGTACCTGTAAAGTACCGTAATCGATAATATAGTAATAATAATTGTACTGTAATTGTCATCACAGTAACAGGTGCTCTATTTTTATCACTGCAAATATTAGACTACTGTAACAGACATTACTGCATTAATTTTAATACTGTAAATTAATAACTGTAAAATTACTTTTTGTCACAAATTTCTTTATTGTAGCATTTCATTTAGCCTTCAACATTTTAAAATTGAAAATACATAGGCAGTAAATAACTGGATAACAATTAAAATGTTTAGTTAAAAGTCAAAATATTTAAAAACACAATCTAAATGAAAACCTGTAGAATTGTAAACTTTAAAATGTTAAAGACCGACTTTTATTGTTCCTAAAGAAAATTCTGCTTCCTAAACTAGGTACCGCTTCCTGAGCTGGAGTCTCCCTCCCTGTACTGAAAGAAATTCATTAATGATGCAGAAATTTACAGGCAACACTAAATTGTACTATTACAATTTTTGTTCACTCCTTACTTCTCATTGGCAATACAACAATATATTTTTACTACTAACAACACTGCATAAAAGGGCAGTAGCATATATTACATAGAACACACACACAACACATTAGTTAAGTCTCAACTTTTGTCATGGTTTTATTTGCTGCAGCTCCTCCGCCTGAGAGAAACCCACCAAATGGTGCAAAAAAAAAAAATGTGTAAGAATTAGAACTGAAAAGTCAAAAATCATAATGCAGTGGGATGTACATGCTTTTACAAGTCAGGAATGAGACCCCTGTATGCTCAAGCTAGGCTAGCAAAAATCTGTTCATCTTAGCTGTTGCAATCTGCCCTGTGATGAAGCTCAGAAAACACATTATCCTGTCAGTGTGCTTTTTAAAAGTCTTAACTGTTATGAGGTTTTGTTTCGCCTGGTCCACTTCAGTACTCGGTAATGTTGCTCATGCCCACAGTAGCTAGCAATAGGAAAAACGAGTGTGAGCTTCTCCACATGGAGCTAGCTAGCATATCAGCACACACATAACCATTACACATGGGCACAAACACACACAATTCGATTTTAAGTATATCCAATAACTTTACTTCTGCACCAAAGTGACAAATAAATGTTGCCAGATTAAAAACAAAATCTACCAAGACTTCATGAGAAAATAGTATATTTTGGTAATATTATGCACAGTAGCTTATTAGGTATGGAAGGTGTGTGTCTCTACTTGTCTCTCCCAGTGCACTCTTAGAGTTACACACACAAGTAACTTTATACTTAAAAAACTTAGCTAAAATAATGTAATGTAGTAATGTTACAGTGACAAAGTAATGGGTTAAGTTACCTTGCTGAAGTCAAAGGCTGAAGAAGGTGTGGAATCCTGTCAGGACCTCTTGCAAGAAATTCAGCAAAGACAGACTGGTTTCTGCTAAAAATGCTCAAAATTACTGTATTGCAATTCACAGGAAAAATATATTGACTGTAGAATTCCTCCACCAACAAATTTTGACCGTGATGCACTGCACATTTACAGCAACATACTGTATACAAGTTGTACAGCAAGCATGTTGTTCATTATACAGTAATAATACTGTGAAAATTACAGAAATTTGTTACAGTGTACTTTTTTAGTTTTAGTCTGAAAGTTAAGAACAAGCTCTTCTGTATGGATGATTGGTTTTGGTTTAATACACCTTATGATCCAAGTTAATTTCAATGTTGTGAATGAAATTTCAGCCATGGTTGTTGTACAGATGGACCTTATGTTTAAAAGTCCATGGTTGAATCTGCTGGAACCTGATGCATTAAGATGTTCAGTTTAAAATAAATTCAATCACATTGACACACAGTCAATGTCAGTACTTGTAAATGCAGATTAAAATGTCTACACCATATTTGTTAAAATCTAGTGATAATAAATTGTATACACAATTTACTGCTTTATAATGAGTGTCTAACTATTGGTTTTGGTCTGTGGGTTGTAGGTGTTTGATAACTATGCTGTAACTGTAATGATTGGGGGTGAGCCTTACACCCTGGGCTTGTTTGATACAGCAGGTAAGTCTTTTATTTTCTTTTTATAGCCTACACTTGTTTAGTTGTGCTCATCCAGCGTGTTCAGTTTATGGATCTATTACCCCAAAGTGTTTCTTTGAAATTAAATGGAAGTCATGGCAAAAGTTATAGGTTGTCTTCCTTCACTGACATTTCTGAATGGAGGCTGTGTGTTAATGGCAGTTCGACTTTAGACTGACATGAGCATTGTGATTTTGTTGCTCTGCGTCGTTTTTTTGTCCAGTATATCAGTACTGCCAACTTGATGGCCATACTATGCAAATTAAACATGTTTGCTTGTGGTTTCTCCAGGTCAGGAAGATTACGACAGGTTACGACCACTGAGTTATCCCCAGACAGACGTGTTTCTCGTCTGTTTCTCCGTCGTGTCCCCTTCCTCCTTTGAAAATGTCAAAGAAAAGGCAAGCCTGGCTCTTCCTTTTCTTTTTCTACCTTGCCATTGGTCTTTTTCCCTCTTCATTGTGAGATATGGGTGCTTTGTTTTTGATGTTTTTTAAATTTAATATTGTGTAAGATAGTAATAACCAGTAGGGGCTGCATGATATTGCAAAAAAAACTGACATTGCTGTTTTTTCCCCTGTGACATATATTGCTAAATGGAAAAAATACAAAAGTTTTCACCAGATAATCTGAATAACTGTATTAGGAAAGAATTAATCATTCTAGAATGGTTGGGGTGATTTTGTAGGGGAGTGCATCTGTATAGAAAGTAAAAATGTATAATTTTAAAAAGCTGAAAATTGACTCTACTCTGAAGACCATTTTATGTGTGCAGCAGTTGGTTTCAACACACCAAACACAAAAGTAGGTGAGCACTGTAACTACTCTTCTGAAGTGATTTTGGAGGGGGAAATTAGGTAGTTTAATACACATGGTTATGACTTAACCAACTAAATTAGTAGCCAGTGCACTGCACCTAGGTCCACTTGTTCAGGGCAACAGCCTTTACCACGCTATCTGTTGTTGTACAGGCTTGACCTTTCTCATCTAGGCCTCACCTGCTGCCGTTTCTCTCATCTCAGTTGAGAGGTTCTCACTTAATGATCCTCCGGGAAAACGTTTCCAAACAGCAGCTTTTCAGTTGGGAAGTCCTCATTAATGAAGTAGACAGTGTAGGGGACTCTTTTATTTGGCTGGACCACATGTCCATTTAAAGTTCCATAATATTCTACTTATATCCCCCTGCCTGCCATTCCAGAGGCAGGTAGATGTCCAAAGGCAGTCTCACAGGCTCAGCAGGGACAGTGGATGAGATGGGAAGACATAGAATGGAAGGGAAATGTGGGACACGGAGCAGGAAAGATTAGATTCATTCTAGGCTCAATTTATGATGTACTTCTGTCTCCCCAAAATCTGAATAGAGGGATAGGTGAGGACCTGACATATCCCTTGAGTTTAGGTGTTGTATCACTTGGGCACATCCTCTGTGTGCAAAACAGCTGGAGACATAATCAAGTGTGGAAATGTTTAGCAGCAGCTATTGAAAGTAGGCACTTAGACGTAAACTCAAAGAGAAGAAGAAATGAGGGTGTTTTGTTTGATTGTGAGGGTGAAAAAGGCAGGAAGACAGTCAATTTGAACAGGCAGGATGCAGGCCAGCTAAAGGCGGGGAGAGATTGGCAAATGAAAGTAGATTACGGGACTCTGCTCAGAGTTCCTGAAGAGAGAGTCGGCACTACAGACCTGTGCCCGTTTTGGATCTTGTTCTTGTAGTAACACTGCAGCACAGACACTTTTCTCCACTACTGCAAATGTAACTTTAACAACAACACATCCCCATCCCCCCACACGTGGTTTTATTTTTTTGCTTTACTGTTAAGCACCTTGTAATGTAGGTTTAGAAAGGTGCTATATAAATACATTTTGCTTGCTTGCTTACAACACATGCTAGCTACCAAAAAAGTGGAATAAGTAGGCTACTCAAGTTGTTTACTGAAGTAAACGTAGCTATACCACAGTGTAGAAATGCTCTAAGTCCTGCATTCAAAAAAGTAGTTGCATTAAAACATAACCTAAAATAGAAGTATTCAGTTGTATGACACTCAGTAAATTAAAGTAAAAGCCAAAATATAGTGCCCTTCTTTTTCATTGGGTTGAATTGTTTTTGAATAGAAAATCGTTTTAGATTGAATCGTGACACCAAGAATCAGAATCCACATCGATACGTGAGATTGCCAAATATTTCCACCTCTACTGGTACTATGTTTTTTGCATGATGAAAAGTTGCAACTAAGCCTTACTTGTAGAGGTCTTCTGCTGTTCCGTAATCTTTCATGTTATGGTTCACAACTGGCAGGGGCAGGGCCTGCTATAGTCATTTGATAAATTAATCAATAATAATTGTAATTGGTGGTTCACTGTGCGCACACAGCCTGCATGTGACACACTAGCAACAGATTCTGTGTACCTAAGAATCCTTTCATTGGAGTAAATTATATTGTATCAGACAGACTTCTCTTGTAGATTAATCATGGAAAATTAGAATTGTGTGTTTTCCTTTTGTATCAAGCAGCAAAAACATTTTAGTATGATGTGTTTGTGTTAATTTGCCTTTCTTGATATTACATATCCTGTGATGTGACTATTGCGCATGTGCACATCGTGATGATATAAAATATCATGCAGCCCTAATTCCCAGGATTACTAAAACCCCAGTTAACAGGAAAATAGATACTTGGTCATAATGACAGTTTAATCCAATCAATGCTATTGAAAACCTGATGATGCTTGTGACACAGTGTGTTGATCATTGTCTCTGTATCTAGTGGGTTCCAGAGATCACTCACCACTGTCCAAAGACCCCCTTCCTGCTAGTTGGCACTCAGATTGACTTGCGGGATGACCCTTCCACCATAGAGAAGCTGGCCAAAAACAAGCAAAAACCCATAACTCCAGAGACAGCTGAGAAGCTGGCGAGAGACCTCAAGGCTGTGAAATATGTGGAGTGCTCAGCCCTCACGCAGGTAATAAACTGTAAATATTTATATATAGAGGATTTATTGTCTCACATATATATACTTTCTTTGAGATGCATATGATTCATACCTCGATGGCAAGAAATAAGAAAGTGGAAGAAAGAGTAACATGTCTACATTCTACCCGGCCTTTGCACGTTATGGCTGAGTTTAGTTGTGCATGCTGCTTTGGTTTCAGTGACTGTAAATCATCATGATAAAAACCTTGCCTTGCTTCATAGTGGCTCTTGGCTACAGTAAACACTGCATTTAGTGTTAGTGCAGGTGAAGAGAGGAGTTTAGGCCTTGTGAAGCAGAATCTGTAACTGATCACGGGAGCTTTGTAGGCTTTGACAAATGACCTACCAGGCTGATCAAAACACAAGAGCCCAGTGACGGTTGTTAGTCTTGTCTATTGAACTATTTCACTGGGAGTTTCCCTGCACAGTGTGGCCCCAGGCCTTGGCCTAGGATCTGACTCCCACACCCAGAATGGCCACAGAGTAGGTGAAATTTTCTTTCAAGTGGCAAAATATGTTGTGATGTATGAAAATGCTGCTGTACATGAAGTTCAAAAGATAACCTCTGTTTTTTGTTTTTGGAACAGTGGCCCTGGTAGCACGATGTTTTTTTGGTTTTTTTTGGAACAGTGGCCCTGGTAGCACGACTCACTTATTTTACATGTTAATGATTTGAATGAGAAATGTAATGGCCAGTGAGTGAGCCAACAAATTATATTCTATTACCTTTAAGTGTTTGAATGGGACAAAGAGAAAAGGGTGTGAAGTATTATAAAATCCAGGATTTAATATTGCAGTTCTCAATACTTGTCGGATTGTATAATTAATAAATCTGTCTGTTCATTTGTAAGTTCAACTCTGTAGTACTTGTGTTGGTATTGGCACATCACTGTTAAAAACCCGAGTAGTGAAGCGACCAGAGGGAACCTGACTGAAAGGAGGACTGATGAGTTAGGCCTCACTCAGACAGAGAACAATAGTGCTGATGCAGCTGAGGTGTAGCCCCCACCTCCCTCCTCTGCTCCTTCCTTCCTCTTCCCCCTTCTCTCCCTGGCACCACTGTTGTACAGCTGTTGATGTCATTTCCTATTTCCTGCTGGCAATCTCAGCAGTCGGTCCACACCTCACTGTCAGTCCACAGTTCACTCCCCTTAACTGTCACACCTTCTGTTGGGATGTCACACACATGCTTTTGTCTTTGATCTGCCATGTTCCTCTTATCCTCCTTTCCATCTGTTTGTCTCTGTTTGCTGTGTTAATTGTGCTGTTTTCTTCCTTCTCCTGTCATTGTAGCGAGGGCTGAAGAATGTATTTGATGAAGCTATCCTAGCTGCCCTAGAGCCTCCTGAGACGCAGAGAAAGAGGAAATGTTGTATATTTTAAACTTTCTCTGTGTCACCACTCATCTCTTCCTACTCCGATTGTTTCCATTCTCTGCACCCATCTCTCTCCTTTCCTCTCTTTTCTTTCTCTCTATTTTTATATGTGCTGGTTTTGAAATCTAGACCAATCTCAGTCATTTGACTCACCAACCCATCAGTCTGATTCTGGTCTAACTCCGGACCCATTCTACTGCTACATATTGAAAGTGCATGGCAACTAATGTTTGTGTTATGGCCCAATTAACTGACCGTCTTTTCTAACCTGTAGCTACTGACATTTAGTTTGTTTGGTGTGCAGTTCATGTTTTACTTCTGGATGGGTGTTTGCTTAGTCTACCATCATAAATCTCTCTCTTCACCACTGTATCATTCTTGGTTTTCCTACTTTGGGCCAGCACTCATTAACATGGCCCCTGTCCAACAGTGGAGCCATATCTAACAGAGGATGTAGGATGTGGCCTTTCCCCTCTGTCCTGCAGTAGGTGGGAATGGTGTGTGGACTCCAGTGTGGGTGGTGGCTTTATAATGGCTCCACACTGAGACTGATCTCAACACTAAACAGAGCTTGCATTTCTAATGCAAATGTGTTTTTTTTTGCACTACTGTTGATGTCTGATTAACAGGACTTGGAGTCTGAATGCAGTTATCTACAGGGCTTTTAAACACTAAAATGTAGGGAGTGTTTGGCCATTTTTACAATAACCACTAGAGTTTTTCCTGTTTGGCACTGTCTTATTGACTTGGTTTAAAGCTCAGCTTCACATCATATTTTTAAATATTTGTGGTCTTCTAAAAAAATGCATTCTGACATGTTTGAGCCCAACTTGATATATGAAACTAATGTGCCAGTAACTGTGGTGCATATCTTGCTGTATTAGAAGTCCAGTTAATACAAGAGCTAGAATTGTGACATGAGCTGTGAAATGAATTAATAAAGGACAAAAGAGCTTGCTTTCCTTTCTTTAACTCACTTCTACTTCCACTGCTTTGTAAGAAAAGAGCTAAGTGGGGTTAGTGGACTGAGTTCAGCGATGCTGAGGGGCTTACTGGTTTACTGTGTAGTGCATCTCTGCGTACTACACATGATCAGGCTCATGATGCAAGTAGCTGGAGCAGATAGAGAGAAGAACCGTTCATCGTTGGGCTGAGTATAGAGCTAATTTGGTGGGATTCTGACTTTATAATGGCTTATGTTAAATGTAGATGTCTGTTTTTTTTTCTCCAAAGGGCAGAGTCAGTGTAAAAACCAGGAGATGTGGAGTGATGCTCAGATTTCATTTTTGTTTTGTGTTGCAGTGTCAGGGGTTTAGCTCTTTTCCCTCCACTTTCTTGTTTGACTTGCCTTTGATTTAGCTGCATTGCGCACCCAGAACGCATGTGATTTCTGTTGTCAGCACGTTATCCCTGATCTGTCTCACACAACTTGCTGAAACAACCACATGAAGGCAGCCAGAATATTTTCTTGAGCTGTTCATAGTAGATCTGAGTTGATTTACACAAAATCATTAGTATATAATATTTTTACACCCCTACAGCTTTTTACATAGTTTCACTAAATTATGTTCAATGCAAATTTTGTTTTCAAATGTTATTTTTCCTGTGTTTAAGTTGATATTGTTTCCTCAGCATTTTTTATTTGACCCCTGCATGTGTTTGCATTGCCCCCCTCACTGAGCCCCATGTTTGTGTGTTTGCGTTCACAGAAAGGCCTAAAGAATGTGTTTGATGAGGCGATATTGGCTGCATTGGAGCCCCCAGAGCCCAAGAAGAAACGCAAATGTGTGCTGCTATAAGAGGCTCCTACCTTTTTCAAAGCACACACACATAACACACACATCTTAAATACATACACACAAATACCCCTCTTCCCCTGCCCCCACCCCCTTTCCCTTGCTCTGCTAAGGCTGGTTTACAGCATTGTCCTCCACAGAGAAGACTATTAACGGCAACAGCCTACCAAGTTTTAAATAAATCTCTGCAATAATAAGACGCTTCACCTCCAAGTCTGATTTTGGGACACAAGATGAACCTAACCTGGCCAACAGGCTGCTGTGGGCTTGGGGGCAGGGTGCCATTGCCTCAAGATCCAGATACCAAGCTACAAGTAGAATTTGTTTTGTCTACCTTTGGATAGATTAATTTGAATTCAGTCAAGTGTTGTGGCCTAATCAACGTTTCAGTTACTTCTACTTATAATCAGCCAGTGTAAAGGTGTCAGGGGTATAAGCCCTGCCCCAGCCTGACCCAGCTACTTGACGGGTGGCTGCTCATGCTGCTGGTCCTGTCCCCTCTGCTTACAAGCACACACATCGCCCAGTCTCAACGATCTTGCTCAGCACTACCAGAAGAAATACTAACAGAGTAGTGTTGTTTTGTTTTTGTTTGCCAACACCCTTTTCCCCTCAAACATGACAAGTCTGAGATATTTATTCCATGTTCCAGATAGACATGCTCTCATCCACTAAGGACACTGTAGGTCTGCCAGGATTCTGTAGTTGACCGCAATGTGATTCAAACTTCACTGCGCTCTCTCTCTGTCTCTGAGGAAAGTGAATTGGTAAAGCTTACCATCTAGTATCCAGCCCTTTTAGTGCAGATTTTCACAGAGCAGAGTCACAGGCCATTTGGAGTGTGGTAATCACTTAGAGAGCTAAAGGCATCCAGAAGTAATGAGTCTGCTAGCAGACTCCAGGAATTGGCCTTTTAGATGTAGGGAACCTAAACAGTGTTAGCAGAACAAGTGGTGTGTTCTTCATACGTTGCCAGGGACCAAGGAAGGGTGAGGCAGGATACTGCTTTAACATCACTTTACACTTAGAATGGGTACAGGAGACGCATCCATGTTAAACTGATGTTCCTGAGCTGCATATTTAAACAGCTGATCAGTGAACATGAATTTCCACCAGATTTCTGTTGCCAGGTCAGAATTTGGTGCCTTCCTGTAGTGTGTTGTATCCAGGCTACGTCTGGGCTGTGAAGGACTGTTTACTCTGCTGTACCCATTCAAGCTGTGCGGTGCTGCATGTAGCTGAGCCCTGGTCTCTGTTCTAAATGATAGGTTTAACAGATGTAATTATAATGTAAGCTGATGTAAGCTCCAGGTGTTTTTACCAAAATCTTTTTTCTTCATCGTTTCTTTATTTCTGTTTTAAATATATTAAAACAAAGGTTGTTTTCACTCCTTTTACATTTAGGGGTTGGAACTCATCTGAACTCTCTACTGCCAGTTTATACCAAGAAAACCTCTGCTTTAGTTGAATAAAAACCTCCAATGACAGAGAGACTGTTTGGTAAAGGTAATTTGTGATTGGTTGTTGTTTTTCTTTACTGGTGGCCTAGAGTTGGGTTGACATCCAGCCCTAGTCAGTATAATTATTATAACCTGTTGTTGTTTTGGTGCAAAACCAAATGCTTTGTCTAAAGTCTTTGTTCTTTGTATATGCATTCTTTTCAGAAATATTAAACTTATACCTTAATTGCCTTTACCACGTTTTCCTTGTCATTCCTGTTCTTTGTTATCGTTTTGTTTTTTTAGTGCCTAATACAGTAACCTACTTATTAGTGAACAGAATAGCTTTCATTACTGTATGTTAGTGTGTTTATCACCGTTTTGTGTCAAAGGAGATGTAACAATTTTGTCATCTAACAAAAAGGTGGTACATCAGCCTTTCAAGACATTCAAAGGTAACATCTGCATCTTGAATTCAGAGTTACTTACATGTACATATATAGGTGGAATTGGAATATTAATGTTCTACTCCACATGCTGCGAGCATCACAACTGGATGGGCCTGACATGGCATGTTTAGCCAGCAGGAGGTGCTGTCCACCCAAACATCACCTTTCAGTGGTCAGTGGAACAGTATTATGCCAAAGTGCATTTATTCCTATGATATAAACTGATGTTACTGTATTATAAAATAAAGCATCTTATTGACATAGGGGTTTTTGTGTTGTTTGGACTGAGTGCGTATGGCCTACAGTTGTATGGCAAGATGCAAATCATGAGAAAATAATTTTACAGTTCCATCAAAACTAGAATTTCTACAGGTTCTGAGCTCCAGGTGATTGTTGTGGCACAATGTGAGAGAGCTCTCTGTCAGTCCTCTACTCTGCAAAAGTAGTCTTTAAGTGAAGACGGTTTCTCACAGGAAACTACTCACTAGAATTATACATGTCAATATAGTGATAACTTGCATTTTTACAAACCTCCTCCAGAAAAAAATAAACACGTATTGTATGAAATTCCTTCAAGGTCTTCACTACATATACTATGTGAGTCTGGACAAACATACTGTTGGTGTAAAGTCCAAGTTGACTGGTTGGAGGAGGAGGCACACAACTGTGAGGCAGTAACTAGTTTTGTTCTTTGAAGATACTCAACATTCATCAGGACCTGTTGTCATAGCAACAGGTCTCAAAGCCCACACTTGTAACTTTTACTAAGGTCTTTTAGAGTGAACCCCATATATTGTCAGGTACAAATGGCTTAGCTTGTTAGATTTATGATAAAAGAATGTTGATATACAGTAATTGAGTTTCAATCATCTGTAATTGTTTTTTTTGTTTTGTTTTTTTACAAATTTACAAAATTAAAATTTAGTTTACCGGGATCAAAAACAAATTCTATCATTGACGCCAGAACATATAACATTTAATTTGACATTACAATAAAAATCAGGAACAACCTCACCAATCATGCATCCAACATCACTTCTAACCACATTTACCGGTCCGCTGTATAACGGTGGCAAAAAAGTGGAAACATTGTAGAACACTGCAGAACGAAGCCTGCAGGAACACAGAAAAAGACAGAGGATTGCTGTACGCCCATAAATCTGCCCTAGTGCATGACGGCTTCTCAACACACCTCCCTGTGACCAGCTTTCAGCCAGTAAGTGGATCATGATTTGAACTCTGCTCATTTTGCCTTTGTTTAAAAGGAAGAATGCATTGTTAATCAAAATAACTTACTGCAATTCAGGATTAATGATTCAAACCTCCTGTGGCTTAGATGGTAGAGCGGGTCGTTTCCTAACTGGAGGATTAGTGGTTCGATTCCTGGCTTGTCCACTTCACGTGTTGAAGTGTCCTTGAGCAAGATGCTGAACCCCAGTTTGCTCCCAGTGATGATGTCTGTGCGTGAATTTTGGAGTGCGAATGGGTAAATGCCAAACTAGTGTCAAAGCACTTTGAGTGTGCTGCAATTCATAAAAAAGCACTATACAAGTATGAGACCATTTTAAGATCTGACCAGTAAACATCTAGACTAGTAAAGTTTTGTGTATGCATGCTTATCAAAGAAGCATATATTCTCTTATACAGTTAATGACCTGTTGTACTGATGACTTCACTGGGAGAGTTTAATGTCCATCCAAGCTGTAGAAGGGCTCCTGCTGTCAGTCAGGAGTATTGTCTATGGGCAAACACATTGGACTTTTACCTCTGAAACCAGAGGTGACCACAGCCACCCCTCCCACTATTGATTTGATTTGATTTATTTATTCTTTCAAGCATGTAAAAACAGTTGACATATCAACACATAATTATACACATATCCAACAAATGCTAATCCAGTATCAATTTGCTTATACCTAGTACATGCTTGAATGGAGTAGGAAGAAGTCAGACTTATCCAGTCCTACCCCCTGACATCATCTTACCATCATTGGTTTGCAAGCAGTATCTCTAAATAATTCTCTTCTACACCACACAAGTAATATACTAAAAAATTATTACAGAGTGTTAACATTCATACACCACACCCACAATAGTCCATGTAGTTAATCATTGAGCCTGTTCTTGCATATATCTTGATTGACACATACCTTTATATTTATGTTTAAACT